AACTCGATAGAGAGAAAGAGAATAAAAGCGAAATGTATCTTATTTTTTTGTTGACATTCCTGACTTGGCGCACAGCGTCCACGTCATCGCTCTAATCACTCCCTCAGCTAATCTGCGGCTCAAGACTATTCCCGGCGCGTCGAGGATGCCGTTAGCCCTCCTGGATTTTTACTCGGAAACCGGACGATTATTAGCGCGCTTCAGACACGCCGGTATGGCATTTCGATGATTCATAATTCGCGGTCGAACCAGTCCGAAGGCCCCCTTAGTCGAGGGAACCCGGGTTATCCTAATGCCTCCCCGGGCTCCCGTGGTTTATTCACTTCCCTTCCAGGCGGTTGAAATTCCCTCTTTCCAGCGCAAAGAGCCGAGGAGAGCCTTTTATCGGCGCGTGACGCGGCTCCGCACGGCAGCCGCGGCGACTTAGAGTACCTCGGTGAGTCATTCACACAGTGACTGGGCTCGTGTAATTCATTGCGACGATGTCGAATCCCCCACTCCACCCTCGCGTACGTTTCTACGGCGACGTTCACACCGGAGATTATGATTAATAGTAATTAATAAACAGGCTTGGGAGGTTAATGATTTTTTTAAACCAAGTTAATTTAAGTTGCTTGCTTAGAAAATTAATTTTTGATAAAAAAAAAAACTTTTTATTTGGGATTTTAATTCAATGCACTAAAATCTGCCATGTAAAAGTAATTTTTAAAATAAAAAATTTATGAAACAGATTATTCAATTATTAAAAAGATTTATATTAATAAAAAGAAATTATTTAGTAATAAAATTGCTTAATAATAATTAATGAACAGGGTTGGATAATTGATGATTTTTTTAAACCAATTAAGTTTAAGTTGCTTGCTTAGAAAATTAATTTTTGATAAACGAAAAAACTTTTTATTTGGGATTTTATTTCAATGCATAAATCTGCTATATTAAAAGTAATTTTTAAAATAAAAAATTATGAAACAGATTATATTATCAAAAAGATTTAATATTAATTTAGTATAAATTGATTTAGTTACTTATAACATTAATTTTAATAAAAGAAAAACTTTTTATTTGGGATTTTAATCCAATGCACTAAAATCTGTCATATTAAAAGTAATTTTTAAAATAAAAAATTTATGAAACAGATTATTTAATTATTAAACAGATTTAATAATTAATAAAGAAATTAATTTAGTAATAAAATTGATTTAAATAGAAGGAATTTCATTATATGATTAATTGGAGGATAGGGACTAATTGTAAGTCATTCTAATGATGAATAAGTTATTCTAATAATGATTATCATAATAAATACACATTGTAGAGAATTTTTGTCTTGAAATTTACCCTGAAAATCATGATAATCGTGGGACAATATGGTAATGAAAAAATTTTATAATAAAATTAATTACAATAAAAAAATATTAATATTTATCGCAATAAGATATGAAAAATGTTCAATTCATTTTAGTAGTGAGTAAAATTTACTATGTACATATTAATATTTTTTATTATGATTTTATTTTTATTGCTACATTTTATAGAATGTCATCTTTTTTTTATCAGCTAATACACAGTTCGCTGATGAAACAAGAACATTATCTACTCGATATAAGAAGATAAATCTTGAAATGTAGAAAAAGTATATATTTTTGTTTGACGAGTCGAGATAAATTCAATCTTGAAATGCAGGAGCAAATAAGATTTTATATAAATTTTTTCACGGTACTTCTGATTGAGAGGATTATGAGTCTTAAAATGCATCTGTAAAGTTGAAATTTCGAATAAATTAATGCGGAGAGAAAAGGAAGAAAGAAAGAAGATTATTCCTTCTCTGTCAGTCGTCAAAGTGCGATGCATGATAAGAGGATTTTAAAGGATAGAAGAGAATGAAAAAGAAAGCCGCACGTTAATCCCGCGTTGGATATATGATAATTTTGACGTGTTTATGATTTATGGATTTTATAACCAAATTAGCTTTTCCATTCGAAAAGAAACATCGTTAGACAGTTTTAAAAGCTTATTATAGAAACTCACTCATTATTTAATAACAAAAAAAAATAAATTTTGTTTTATTTTAATTTATGCCATTATATGTATTTATATATCGTAATATATTATTATATATATATATATATATATATATATATTATATATATTATAATTAGATAATTTATACGTATCTATATCGCTAAAAATTCATCAACGACAGATTATTTTGCAGATATCTTTGAAAGTTCTCGAAAAATTGATATCCTGTCACACGTGTCCATCGGTTCGCGATTATGTATTAATGTAATATTTTAATACTCTCATGATTGACATAACTGTAACTGCAGACGCATTACGCAATTGTCATTCGATTTAACTCCAATCTCCATATTACGCAGAATTTCTCAATGGATCTTTTCCGCCTTGTGCATTTAGTTGCATAGACCGAGACTCATTACTATAAGCAGGCTATGAATGAATGACAGAGATATAAGTTACAGAGAAAAACTATCATACAATCAATATGTAACATGTATTTTTTTTATCTACATTTTTATGTAATTTATATTTTATCAATCAAGACTTAATAATATGTATTTTTATATTTTACCTAAATAATAATTTTTTTTTTTTAAATAATTATGGAAAAATTTTTGATAGATATTTCATTATAAAAATTTGAAGTAATTTAAAATAAATTTTGTATAAAATTAACATAATTTTAATGTAATTAACTAAAAATATGTTAATTTTAGATTTGATCATCCCTACTTATAAAATAAAAAATTAACATTTTTTCTGTGACAGATAATCTTCTGTGACAGATAGAAATATTTTGAATGATTTGCTTATTGTTGCACTTTCAATTTCACACTTCTAATTCTCGCAGTGTCACCCATTCTTATGTCAATGTTCCGATGATATAGAATGACAGATAAGAGTGCACTCGATGGCCTCTCTTGTTGTATCTTATCCACACTGAAAAAAGGTGGTGCCTTGACTGAACCTTTCAACTAAATTACTCTTTTATACAATATATTACATTTAAGTTGTTGAAAGTTAGTTGAAAGGTTTAGTCATCAGTAGGATAATTTGTGCTTTCTTGATAAAAACGGTTCCCGTTAAAATTTTTGTTAAATATTTAACACATTTATGAGTTAATTTTACATATTGCTGTTACGTAAATTGAACTTAAATGTTAAAGTTAAATTAAAACGACTACAAAAACACAATGTGAATCTATTTTTAATTTTACACAATAAATATGTTCTGTTTTATTAGAGACAAGATTATCTGTCAAGAGTAAGATTTTTCTGTCACAGAAAAAAATTCTATTAATATAAATTATAATTTATATTCAATAGAAATTAATATAGAGAATTATAGAAATAATTATAATTATAATTATAAAATAATTATAGAAATTAATTAGAGATTAATTAATCAATTAGTCTCTAATTTCTATAATTATTTTATAATTATTATTATTATATTTATTTATATAATTATTTCTATAATTATAATTATATAATAATAATTATTATAAAATAATTATAGAGAAATTAATTAGAGATTAATTGATTAATTAATCGCTAATTAATTTCTATAATTATTTTATAATTACTATTATATATAATATAATTATTTCTATAATTATACCTCTATATATTAATTTCTATTGAATATAAATTATAATTTATATTAATAAATTTTTTATATTCAATATTAATATAAATTTCTATCCACCAATTTAACACAAATGTTTCAACTGTGCAAGTAAAATTTCTCTTCACACAGTGCACTTCGCCGGTGTGGACGTCGACTTATTAACCGCTCTGCTCTCGGCACTCTCGATGCGAGCCATCCGAGTGGCACGCTCGCTCCGTTTAGCTCTCCGTTCCCATCCGCGGTCGCCAGTATCTACCTGTTGCTCGAGCGGCAAAGGCTGTACTGTGCGCGACTCGGTATCTACCTGGCCGAGGCCGGATACCTATAAGACCCACCTACTCGGATGGCGACGCGACGTCGCAGACGCATTTTTCTCTCTTCTTCCGCGTGGCGGGATATTTTTCTGTCGACTCGCTGGAGGATAGATACTGTAGATCCGAGAATTATCGCGTCCGATCGATCGATAGGGAGAGAGAGAGAGCGATCATTTATTATTTTTCTTATCACGCGAGGATGCTTCGAATTTCTTTTTACTCCGCCTCGCGGGTGATTAAATTCCTTTACTACTCGGCGGGATTTCGCAAGCGCAGACGCTCGGTTCAAAGTTTCGTCTTCGACAGAGAGTGATCTTATGGTGACACAAGTGCTTTCGAAATATTCGATGGTTTATCTCCTTTTTTTATCAGATACTTGTATTACGAGGAAGATCTAAACCTGTTTCAAATACTCGTTTCGCGAAAGCGTGCGATCTTATATCATGTCACATGGTCGTGACGCTGTAATCGTTACAAGGAAACGGATTTTCTCGAAGAGTGACTACTTTATCCGGTTCGAACGCGTAGCGCGATAATTAGCGGAAATGGACGAGATGAGCGAATCATTTTGAATAATCGCTGCCGGTGGTCGACATTGAAAAACGAACGAATTGTCCGAGCCAGATCGTAAGTGACGTATCTCGGAGGGATAAAATCGTCGGCGCGATATTGGAGTAAAAGACACGTAAGTCATTGTCATCCAAGTCATTGTCTCCCAAGTCATTATTGCGACGTCTGTGTAAACTATTAGGCTAGTTAGTCTGTGTCGAATGATAGAAACTACGACCGAGACACGCACACGTCAAGTTACAGTTTCTATAAGTCCGAGAAGTGACAGCTCGCTTCAGGGACGAAATGTCAATTTCGTAAAACCACGTGTACGTGTGTGTGTGTGTGTATGTGTGTGTGTGTGTCACTTGTATAATTATTATCGAATACCGGCGTTTCGACATCTTTTGTATGCTTTAGGAGAAACGTGCCTGGAAGGCTTTCTCGAGTCTCTGATCGGGATTTTTGAAAAAAAGAAAATGTGTGACACATGTCCAATACTTTTCAATGCCATTGTCCGCGCCAGGATGCTTCATTCATCAATCTTTTTTTATTTACATACACAGTTGAAAAATTTCTGTTAAATTTGACAGATATCACATGTTCCAAACGGTCCACAGAAATTTTTGTTATTTCTCTGAATGGATACCCAGGCAAATGTTAAAAATGTGTCGAAACAAAATACAAAAGACTTTCGCGCTTTTTATTATAGATTATATTTAAAGTACGCGATGTAGCAACACGTGTAACCCTTCTGTCAATGATGGATACAGAGTTGGGTATGTTAATAATTTTTTAAACTGTGAGTTAAAGTTAGTTGCTTATAAAATTAATTTATAGAATTAATTAATAGAAAAAATTGTCATCATGCAACGTGTCAAAAATGTGCATAGTATGAAAATTTGTTTTCTTATTAAGAACGGTCTTCGTTAAAATTTTTGTGTTCAATATTTAATACATTTATGTGTCAATTTGACATATTGCTGTTGTGTTAATTCAACTTAAACGTTAAAGTTAAATTAAACCAACTGAAAAAACACAATGTGCATCTATTTTTAATTTTACACAATAAATATGTTCTGTTTTATTAGTGACAAGATTTGTCCGTTAACATTTACAGAAAAAAATGTTGATTTTTTATTTTATAATATAAGTGGGGATAGTAAAATCTAAAATCAACATATTTTTAATTAATTTTTACATTAAAACTCTATGTTAGTTTTACACAAAATTTATTTTAAATTGGTTGAAGTTTTGCGTCATTTTGTGTTAAAATATTAACACAGTATTTGTATCTCCATGTTATGTTAAATTAACATAATTTTTGTGAACCGTTTGAAACATGTAATATCTATTAAAAACACAAATTTTTCAACTGTGTGCGTGCTTTAAAAAATATTACTCGTACATATTTTCCCTTTATTAAAGTTGCCTAAGAACGGTATATGAAATATGGTAATTTTTGTCAGTTTTTATAACGTTGTACATTGCTCAAGAGATCTTATAATCGATCGTAGACGAGCGTACAAATATTTATCGACTATGTAATATCTTCTATTTTATTAATCTTTTCTCAATCTAATCTTAAACTGGACTTTTATCATTTCCATGATTTTTATTTGTCTTGCGAGTAATTAATATATATAATATATATATATATATATATATATATATATATATATATAATTAAGTACTAATTTATTGTCAATATATATAATTTATATATTTCTTTTTATTATTATTTTGCTATAAAATATATTTTATTATTTTTATTTACATTTATGCAATTTATTCCTTATATATATAAAAGCATTATTTAAAGTTATTGGAATTAGAACAAAAAATAAATAATAAATTAAGAAAATTATAAATTGCTCCATCGTCATTCGATGTCACATTGGACTTTCTTCCTTCTCTCTTGTATCTTTTATTGCTCCATTGTGACATTCACATTCGCACTAACTCGCGAAAACACTAATTAATATAAGAACACAAGAATAAAAATTTTATTAAAAATGATTCCACAATCGGTACTTTTCAATATATTTTACTTGTTAAAAAAATTAGTTACAAATAACGATAAATTAATTTGATACTTTTTACTATAATTAATATCGATAAATTAATTAATTTTTGATCTGAACAACTGATAAGAACGCTGGAATGTTATTAGTAGACAAAGGTGATCTAATTCTTCAATCGCGAGTAGACAATTTCAATTTCCTATATAGAATCATCGATTTAATCTCGCGATTCTTATCTGACAAACGTTTGCGCATGTTTTGTGTAATATCTCGTTATCACAGAACAAATATTAGCAGGGCAACGCTGTTGGCTTTGTCTCATTTGCTATATTTGCCTCAATTATCTCATTGTAGCGCAGTATTGCAAGATTTGCACAATCAACCGAAGATCGCATCGTTTCAATCTCAGAATAGAAACGAGAACAATGACATATATGAGATAATACAGGAATATTTTTTTTTATTGATATTTATTCTCCCAATTTTTGTCTCGCTTTTCAATAACCAGATTCGAAGTTGTAATTTAAAATATAAATTCTATAGTGAATATATTTCATATACAGAGAGAATTTTCTCTTATAGAATTTACCCTGAAAATTATGGAAGAATTTGATAAGAGTTTCTCTGATTAATATTTAATACAATAAAAATATTAATATCTACTGGAATAAGATATAAAATTAGTTCAATTAATTTTACTATGTATATAGTGAAATTTACTATATACGTATTAATATTTTTTATTGTAGTAAATATTTAATCAAAGAAAATTCTCTTACAAAATTCTTTCAATACCATATTGTCCCACGATTACCATGATTTTCACGGTAAATTCTAAAAGAAAATTCTTTATGTATTGAGAAATATCTACTTTTTTTACTTTAATATTCATTTCTTCTAAATAAAAAATAACTAAAATAAATTAGATGCGATAAATAAATTTTATACTGTTTCTGCATTTTTCAATTTAATTAAACTATCTTTAAAAAAACGATTTATCTCGACAAACTAGATAAATTTATCTAATCTAACTATCGCGAGAGGATCAATCTTGTAAATTATTTTATTTTATTCTAATTTTAGAAATTAATTATCTTTCGTCGTATATATTATAAATTTTTCCGTTTAAAAAAACGAATTTGTCGCAAAAATATCTGTCATTCTCGCACGTGACGTGCATATTTTTACCGCGGCAAAAATTATTTTCGGCAGTTGCCTCGTAACCTTTTCGTAACGTAACAGCGTCTCTCTCGACGTGCATTTCAGAATGCATCTCCTGGAGTGCTTAGCGCGTTTCCGGGTGCACCTCCAGGAACAGAGAAGAGCCATAAAAGGGGGACACCCTGGAATTCCGGGGTGCAGCGGCCGCGACACGCGCGGTCCTTGCACTTGTCGCCACGGCTACGTGAGTGGCATAACACGCCTGCATGTATAGATATATATGTATATATATTATATATATACAGGGTGTAATTAAATAAAGATATACGAAGCACATCATCGGATGGAGGACGACAAACTAAATCGAAAAGTCCTGAGTCATTTTTTAATCTGAGCTTTATTTTTGACGCTATAAATTGTTAAAGATTGACCAATTAGCGCGTGGCTACGCCTACTAAGGCGCTGTTTTCCGTTGTACCCACGCGCTGATTGGCACACTTTAACAATTTGTAGCGTCAAAAATAAAGCTCAGATTAAAAAATGGCTCAGGACTTTTCGATTTAGTTTGTCGTCCTGCATCCGATGATGTGCTTCGTATATCTTTGTTTAGTTACACCCTCTATATGTATATATATATTTCTGTAAAAAACTTACAATAATTAATATATAGGCCACATGAAGAACTTACTGATGAAAATACAAAAAACTTATTGGTGCTTTTATTGATACAAAATCTGTGTTATTTATGTTTGTAGGGTTTTTGCATCAATGAAAGCACCAATAAGTTTTTTGTATTTTCATCAGTAAGTTCTTCATGTGGTCTTCATTAATTATTGTAAGTTTTTTGCAGAAATAAGTCATTTTTATACTCTTGTTCATTTGTGGCAGATTTTGTAGATGCTTAACATTCAAACAACTGTAACTCCACACCTATTGAAAAATTGGACATGTGTTAATATGAACTTATTTACTCAAAATGGTCCATACTACACAACTTCCTAAAATATGTACCTTTCTTCCTGAAACACCCTGTGTGTATGTATATATATATATGTGTGGTGTGTGTATATGTATATGTATATATGTGTGTGTGTATGCGTGTTGTGCGCGCGGCTTTTCTCCTTTTCTGGTCGTGCGCGCCGCGCAATTTTCCAGCGCGGAATCGCGCGTGATCGGTTTCCAGAACGAGGAATCGAGTTGCACCAGGAGTCGTATATATACCGGACGATGCAACTGCCCGTTTTCTTTCCCGTACTTTCCCGAACTTTGGATATCAGCCAGTTAACGGTAGCCTCCGCCGTCTTTGGCCTCCGGCGAAGCACGGAGACTGCACGGAAACGTTTCTTACAATCCTCTTCTTCGACGCTGGAAAGAAGGGCATTCGATAACGCAATATATTATTCTCGCCGTCATGCTATAATCATTTAATTCTAGAATTTATATAGGTATTGATAAGAACGTCTGCAGGGAGAGAGGCGTGATTCATATAATGTTACTTTTAGAAATATTTTGAAACTTATATAATGTACGCCTGATAATTGAAAGCTTTATCATAAAATAGGTGTCGAGAAAGATTTTCTTTGCATCTTTTAGTTTAAAAATTTTTTTTTATTATTTTAATTTTTTTATATTAAATGTGCAAGTAAATTTCAGCGTTTATTCAAAGAGAGAGCAATTGCTTAATTTTTGGCCGATTCTAGGGGGGATAAATGCTTCCTCTGGCCTTCTCTCCCCCTGTTTTTTATATTTTATATATAAATAAAATAATTCATTTTTTAATAATCTTTGAAGAACACTTTTTTGAAAAATAATGGAAAAAATTGTTCCATTATCGTATAGTTATATAACGAAATATTTTTATCACAATAAAAAAATATTAATATCTATCACAATAAGATACAAAATATGTTCGATTATTTTTACCATGCACATATTAATAATATTAATAATT